AAATTGACATCATTTTCCAAAATGTCATCACTTTTCAAAGATTGTGCTCACTTTTTAAAACGTCCTTACTTTTAAAAAATATCCTTTCCAACTGGACATTTTCCACATAAGATCCTTATAAGGATGTTCGGGATCGATGTGGATCCATACAGCTGTAAGAGGGATTTCCTTGTGTTGCAAGAAGGTCGCCTACTTTCTACTGTGAAATATTCCAGTTAACTGTAAAGAAAAATATTTGGTACATGTTTTCCATAATTGTGTATTCTAACGCAGGTCTGGACCCAGGTGCAGATGTAATGTACAGAGGAAATATGAGTTATGACGTTTAGTTTTCCATTTTCATTTGGCTGTTAGCAATTTATTATCATTTCAGGCAATTAAATTCTAAATTTAATATTCCTAAATGAAGTTTGACAAGACTGACAGGTGAACTTGTATCAGATCAATTTACCTTTGTGTCAGTGAGTAGCAAAAACATGCCTCCTCCTCCTCCTTTTTTTAGAAACAAAGTGTCAGCTTAAACACAAAAACACAGAAGTAGAAATGTGAGTGTAGTATGTTATAATTCAGCTCTTTATCCTCTGTCTTGTCTCCCTCTCTGCTCCCAGACAGCATTCATAATCCAACCTGACGTTTCTGACATCCCCGCTCCCTCCCACCTCATGCATCTATAATTAATCGTCATGTTGGTGGGGGTTACAGGAGCAGCGTCAGCCGTGCAGAAACAGGTAGAGGTCAAAGGGTCAAGTCATCACGGCGAAAAAAACATGCCTGGGCGGATCGTCTGTCAATGCCACAGACAGCTGAGAAAACCGAGAGAGACGCAGCGTTCAGAGCAGCAGGGAGGAGACAAGAGACAAGAGAGAACTGTATGAGACTCAATCAGATCAGGCAGCCGGGACGTGAAACAGAGGTGAGACGCAACGTCATGATATCACACCTGAAAAGACGGGACGTGAGCGGTAACAGAGTAGGACAACAAATACTTGTTTCTGATTGGCCAGCAGGTGTCTCAATTAGCCAGATTTGTTATTTTATTAAAGAAAGAAAGAAAGAAAGAAAGAAAGAAAGAAAGAAAGAAAGAAAGAAAGTGAGGACAATTTCTGAAAAGTAAGAACAGGTTTGGAAAGTGAGGACATTTGGCGGATATAGGTCAGAAAAAGAAATGCTTAAGTACAAATTTGTATGTGCACAAGAGGGACAGTGAATGCCTCACAGTTCAGTGAAGAAATATACCATCAACAATAAACACTCAAACACACATTTACTCCCTGTAACACACACGCGTGCACACACACACACTGAAAGTCCTGAAGGGCCGATAGAGGAGGCCGATCTTTTATTAGTGGGGCAACATGCCTGATTAAAATCCTCATGACCCCACACACGCACACACACGCACGCGCGCGCGCGCACGCACACAGCTGGCCTAATCAATGATTAGTAATTGGACCTGCAGGGAGAGAGAGAGCAGGAGGGTCCTGTGATGTATAGTGAAACAAATTAGTGTGTGTGTGTGTTACAGGGAGACACAATGAGGGAGGAAGGAAGGATCACTGGTGTGAAATGAGACAAATGAGTGTGTCAGAGTCTTTGTGTGTATGTTTTTGTGTTCATTCTTGTGTGTGGCCGTTCTTCCATGTTTTTGAGTGTACTTCCATTGATCTATATAGGTTATATGTGTGTGTGTGTGTGTGTGTGTGTGTGTTTTGTTCCTGCTGCATCACAACATCAAAGAGTTTCTGTTACGTTGGAGTCCTGACACACTGAGCCGACAGTTAGCCGTCATTGGTCCAAGTGTGGACGACTGTCACCTGTTAATTCTGCAGTTAGAAGTTAAAGAACAACTTCAGGGAGACTGAGGCTCTGAGCAGAGGACCTGTGGAAAACAGAAAGTAGAATTTAATTGGTAATATAATATAAGGTAGTATAATTAAGCTAATTAGAAAAGTTACTGGGGAGATTACAAGGCTCTTCTTCATTGGTATTATTTTCTTCTGCAGTGCTTCTAGAGTCCTGAGAAAGAGAAATGCCATCAAAATTAATCATTTTGTATCATTATTGTCATTATTATGATATGCTGTAACTCCATAATCGTGCTAATTGTGAAATTAAGAAAGGAAATTGAATACAAAAAACTCAGGTTGTTGTGCTTGATGGATTTTCAGACAGACAACAGATTATTTTCCCTCAAAAAGACAGAAAAAAAACCCATTTGAAACATTTATCAGCTCAGTGCTCCATGATGCAAGACACTGAAATGAAATAGAAAATATTAAAAGTTACACACAAAATCTACTGTAGCCTCAGACATGTTTACTGACATCCAACCTCCCTGACATTAACAACACTTTCACCCAAGTTTTACGGTTTTATGTTCATGCTGCAGATTTTAGTTAGAAACTAAACAACTTTACAAAGGCAGCCATTGTTTTCTGTTCATTTCTGGAAGTCTAGTAGATGCTCCTCTGCCAACTATAACTTAACTACTACTAACCAGATTAAACTCTTTACAGCTGAACTTCCATATGAACTGAACTGAATTTAAACCAATGGATGAACTGGAATGAGGGAAATTGATTTACAAAGTGTTATTTGATTTGTAAATCGGTCACCAGGAATGTAAATTGTATGTGATTTGTCCTGAATTGGATAAAAGTTATTGATGACCTCTGAAAACTGGGTGTCGTGTTGCCTCACTGACTCAATGGAAAGTGGTGCAGGGTTTGATCTGCAGCCCATGTCCGTCGAATAGCCGCAACCAGCCATTTCATTGGGTTTAATAAAGCGGAGCATGTAAACAAATGAAGCCAAACCTCCTCTAATTACTAAATACACCATTCTATTTTCATTTTCCAAGGAGAAATCTGTATTTTCTTTTGTTTCTTAGCCCAATCACAGAACAATATAAACCAATAGATGTGTTTTCTGTTCACCATAAACTTCAACTTCACCATAAAGGATCATTTCTATATATTTTTTATTTTTACACATTTTTATTTTGAGTCAATCTTTCACACATTGTCCTCCTCTACCAAATACTCACTAGAGCACCAAATATGGATTCATCCACCACTGAAAATAGTCCCCAACAGATGCTCAATTTCCTCGTTTGAGTAATATTTGCTATAAACTACATGGACCAGCTGTTTTAGGAAATTACTTTTTTTCATGGGATTTGTTGACAATAAAAAAAATCTAAAAAAGATTGCAGTATTATCCTTTCCTTTAGTCGCCAACACTCACCAAAAACCACGATAATTTATAGACATTATATGTAGAAATCAGTGGAGATCAATGGCTGCCTGCAAAGAGGAACAAGCACAAAGATTTAAAAATGATCATCTGCTCTGAAATATGCTCGGTGGTGTTTTGAAGTGTGAATCTGAAACTTGGCGGAGTTTGTACAAAACCTAAAGAGTCAAACTTTCAGACTCAGAGAAGCAGAAGGTCAGAGTAGGTGTCATCTGTAGGCCTGTCGTGGCGGTGTGAGAGTTTGATCTGCAGCCTGTGTCCGTCGGCTGGCTGCAATGAGCCATTTCATTGGGTTTAATAAAGCGGAGCGTGCCAACAACTGTCATCTGAGCCGTGAAGCCAAACCTCCCCACGTGCTCCAGATTGGAGAATAAAAAGAAACAAACCCACAGCCTCAGACAGCGAGGGTCCTCCTGGCCATAAGGAGTCTATTATATTCCTGTGTGTCACACAGCCATCTTTGTGCCGGCCTGGTGCCACGCTGTGGCGTTTGTAAAGGCCCGGCCCGGCAGAGTGCTGGCACACGGCGGTCAGGACACGCTGCTAAATCCCATTAGAGTCTGTCCAGAGGATACGAGGCTGCCAGTTACTGTCAGTCATCAACAGGCTTTAACCTCGGGGAGTCGCAACGCTTTTAATTAACCTTATAAACAAGAATCACTGATGAGCTGGTGAGCTTTAATACATGAGACATAATATGACAACAACACTGCAACCTGTAGAGGACACATTCACTACAGGCTTTAACTGCAACTTCACTATTTCAAACTAAATCAAAAAGCTGCTTTATAGAAAAAAACACGGAGCAGGACTGTGGGTGAAGAGACCAATGAAAGTATTCAAGTAGAGCTGCAGCCAGGATTGAAGTCCTAAGCCCCCAACACCCTGAGAAAAAATGTGGCCATAAACCAAAGACATCTCCAATATTTTTTATTCCTTTTTGATTTGTTTGGCTCATTAAATATCCACATGTTCCTAACTGAAGAGTATCAACTCCCTCCAACAGCATTATACAGACTAATCTCTAATTTGGGCTTCACTGTAATATCATGTAATTTTTATAAATGATTAGTTCCCAGACCTTCACATAATCCTCTGTGGTGTGAACAGAGCGACGTCACTTTGACACCTTGATGTTCTCTGCTGAATGTTCAGTGATCATTTTAATCTTCCCTGCAGGAGCTTAAATGCAACAAAACTTTCGTAGTAGAAAGATTTTGGGGGTTTTGTCCTTTAGCTCTGAGACTCATTAATATGCAGAGTGACAGTCTTTGTACTTTGTCAACATGTTTAAATAAACACCTACATATGATGCTACTTATATTTTTATTATTTAGGAAAGGGTTCAGTCTTAATGGTTTCTCTGATAAAACTGGGTGGAGGTTTAATTTACCACACCTCCCTCTCATCCTTCCTCTCCTCCTTCCTAGCTTCCTTTCCCCCTTGGCCGCACTGCTCCTCTGCTTGGCCGCCTCCATGTATCGGCCCACAGCAGCGCACTGAGTCGCTTCTAATCCTCTTTTGATGAACTTGGTTAATAGACCTCCTGCAGCGGACTTTGGCTCTGTTCATTAGGCAGCACACGACCCTCTCCACGCCCCCGGAGCACGCACTGCGCGTCCCCGCGGCTCCCCTGTCCATAAATTCACCCATCAAAGTGAGGAAAGTTGAAAGTGTGTTACTTTGTTGGAGTTCTCAGTGAACCGACCGTGTTTGGCACAAGTTTGTTCAGAGGAAGAAGAGCGATGCCGCCTCGTAAAAGCCTCTTCGCGCCTTTCATCTCAGTGGACCCGGAGGGAGGAGTCGCCCCCGCGGCCCCGGCGGCTCTCCACGCCGACATCCACGCTCTATTGCAGCGTAGCCGTGGGCAGGAGCGACCGGGGGCAGAGCGCACCAGGGGCAGCTGCGACCACCGAGAGCCTCCGTGCGCCATCGTGGAGCTGCGGCTGGGCCCTGCCGGTGGAGCGCTGCACTACCTCCAGCCGGACAAGTGCGCTCTGGAGCGGGCGCAGAGACGGCGACGCCTCGCTGCCAACGCCCGGGAGAGGAGGAGGATGCTGGGGCTCAACGTCGCCTTTGACCGGCTCCGGAGCGTCATCCCCAACCTAGAGAGCGACAAGAAGCTCTCCAAATCTGAGACTCTTCAGATGGCGCAGATTTACATCGCCACCCTCAGCGAGCTGCTCCAGGAGGGCGCCTGCGGAGAATCAGTCACCACCCGGGCACCGCGGCCCCCGGGGGCCTCTCCGCCTTCACAGGGGACCACACTGCTGGCAAGGGAGGCATCCGGGCCCGTCAGGGACTTTCACACCGGGAAGAGCAGCGGAGGCCCGGTGCGCACAGAGGAGTTATGATGGGGACATGAGGGAGAGAAGGAGCGGGACCAAGTGACATTTAAAGACTCAATGAATGTTTAAAAATGAGACTTTTCTCTACTTATCTTTGTAATTATTTGTTTCCTGTTGTCCTACAATGAAAGGGACAAAGCAACATTTCTGTTTGTATTTTAGATAAATGAGGCCTTGTGTCTAAATCTGTATTTGTACATCTGTTAAAATATATTTTTCTTGCCAGAAACAAAAAAGACCATGAATCTCTGACATTATTATGACCAAGCTGGTTGTAGCCGAGTTTGTTCTTTTGAGAAAAGCAGCAGTTATGTTTCTCAATAATTTGTAAGAAACGGCGGATGAAAAACACCCCCCCCCCAAAAAAAAAGTATTTTTTAGATGACTCTTTGAGAAATGATTATCACCACAAACAGAATGGGAACACAGCAGATAGAAAGCCAGCGCGGGAAGTACTGAAAGTAGCAATTTTTATTATTTTAAAATTATATACAGGTAACCAAAGACATCAGTCTGCAAATTGGTACAAAGATCAAGTTTTCCTGCAGGTGGCTTGTTAAGCTCTCTGTCTGTCCAAAACAACAACACGACTGGGAGAAAAGGCTTTAGAAAATGAAAAATAGAGTCAGGTTCAGAAAAGTAGAGTCTACCGGTCTAAATTTAAATTTAAATTTAATCCCCCCCACCCCACCCACAATCCCACCCATTCCCATTACCCATCAGTCTCTCCTCCTACATGAGGAAATCAATCTATATACAGGAACTATGTACAAAAAGCTCTTCCATTCATTCTTCCAGACATCTGTGAATAAAGCTCTTGTAAACTTTAAAAAAAAAAAAAAAGAAAAAAAAGAGGAGTGTGAGGGTTAAACTGTCTGTGTGCGTGTGTGTGTGTGTGTGCGTGGGTGTGCGTGTGACAGTGCATTAATGATCACAGAGGGACAGACAATTACAAAATAACGGTATGAGCATGTTTGATGACATGTGCTTCTAACTTTAACAACTGATGAAATTCAACTTGTCTTTGTTCAAAAGAAAAGAAAAAAAAAAAAAAACAATCATTACTTTTCAAATCTAAACACAAAATCAAACAGGTATTGATCCACCAGACGCTCACATCTCTCTCATCCTGGATAATACGAAGATACAGACTCAACATCTACAGATTTTCTGGGGGAACAGAGAGAAACAAACATTTGTTTTTCTGCCTTAATGGAAAAACACTTTGGACAAGTTATAGGAACAAATTATTAATTACAAGTGAAAGCTTTAAAATGTTATTTTGCTGAGACTAATGCATCTTCTAGTCAATAATAATTTTAAAAGTGTTTTTGGGGAAACACATCAAAACTTTTTCATCACTTTTTACTTTCTACGTTATGTTTGTTCTCCACTCGCAAAGTAAATCATCAATTCTTTAACTTAAGTGCCAGCGTAATTTTTGTTAAACAGAAAAAAAAAAAAAAAGTTGGATTTTCAAGATGGAAGAAATATTTTTTCATATTTGACAGCTCTTTTACAATCTTCCTCTTTCTCTGACAAGATGGACTGAAGAACTCAATAATGAGGCAGCCCTTAAAAGAATGTTTCTAAGTTGTAACTAATGGCATTATTAATGGTTAATAAACCATTTATTAATGCTTTATAAATTAGTTATAAACCATTAAACCGCCACCAATTTTACAGATGAAGTTAAGTTTACTCATCCGGGTCAGTACGATTCTGCCTGTGAATTAAATTGGATTATATCTGCTGTGGCTCTGACATGAGTCCCTTTAAAGTCCCCAAAATTGTCAAAGTGATGTCATCAGTGTAATCTCAGATCACAGATTAGGCTCCAGGTTTAAAACCTTGAGCAGAAAGTCTGAGTTACAAACTGGGGCTGTGGGGTTTGAGTGAAGTGGGCACAGGAGGCAGGTCTAAAAATCACAATCTCTCAGCTTCTGCAACACTAAACCACTGTTTACCGCTTCAACAGAAACAGCTTTTACTTTGTCTTTATATCTTCCTACAGCCACATTACTGATGAACCCTTTATTAATAACTTATTAACATTTATACATGTGTATCATGCTGGAGGAGGATACACCAGCCAGATTTTTTACAAAGTGGCAACCTGAAGTTTTTTTTTTCTTATTCATCAATATAATTGATCACTAAAACATAAATGGTTTGTCAAGATCAATAAACCTATTAGTTACAACTTGTACATCCTTTATCAGAACATGGTGCTGAAACAGAAATCCTCTCAAACTACTGCTGATGCACTTCAACCCTCTTCTTTTCTCTTTGAGACTGAAAATGTGAAAATATTTCAAACATCTAAAACATTGCAGGACGGGCTTTGAGTATCTCTCTAGTTGCTATTCTGGACTGATGGACAATGATTATAGGAGGAGGAATCCAGCCAAGAAGAAAAAACACAAGACTAATTCATATAATTTGCACATTTCCAGCACCTCCACTCTCCTCTTGAGGTTGCTGTAATGCACTCTTGGAAAGACGACGCAGGCGAGGGAAATGAAAAATGCAGCACTTCACAGTAAAACCTTTCTGCAAAGAGTTGGACAGATTACATCTGAAAGTGACAAAAGGATCAGAGGACGATTTTTCCATAAAGTTTAACTAAAAGCTGTGAACTCTGGGATTTGAGAGCTACATCTCAAGTCTTTCCATCGGAAAAACAACTGAACAGGAAGAAAAAAAAGTATCGACTTGATCTCTGAAAGTCTCTCCGCTGGTGGTTCAGTTCAAAACCAGAGAGAAGCAGCTCGTCTTCACCTCTCGGACTGGGGCATCTCGGCTGCCTTTGTGCTGTAATTGAAGGCTCTTCTCTGAGTGGAGAGCACACACACGGACTGTAATTGAAAGGAGCTGAAGGAGGACAGGTTCTGGTCCGGAGGGCTCGGGTCCCGCCGAGACACAAAGCTTTGATGCTGAGCGAGAGGGTGATCGATTTTTTTTATTTATTTTATTTTTTTAAGGAATAAGTTTCTTCTTTTGAGGAGGGTGCGGGGGTCGTTCAAAGTTTCCAGAGAGTTTTAACAACCTCAAGGGTCATTCTGTTTCAGTCTCAGGTGTGCGGTTGGGTGCCGAGCGACTGGAGTGTGCTTGGCATGATGGGAGACGGTTGTTTCTTGATAACGACACAAGAAGAACAACTGCTTTGAAATCCGCTGGTTTGCTGCAGAGGATGAAGAGGGGAAGAAAAGCTCTTACTTCCAAAGATGGAACATCTGAGGTTACAAACAGACCTCATGCAAACGTCTACAGGCAGTCCTGTCTTAATATACCACCTGAACTTCACAAATGCCTGCAATTCAGGGCCTGAACTCTTGCCATGTCTTTGCTCTTTGGCTAGAAACAATCAATACTTTTGATTTCTCAGCCTCAAACTGTCTCCTTCTGACAGAGTCGAGAGGTCAAAGCAGCAAAAAGAGAAGAAGAAGAAGAAGAAGTATACAGCACGAAAGAAACAAGGTGGTCGGAAATGAGCCGAGGTCGTCGGTTTCAAAGGAAAGAAGGAAAGTCATTATTTTAGAGAGCAGTTTTTTTAACCACTTGAGTTGTTTTGGTGATTATGAGCTCCAGAGGGCTGCGGGGTGCGAGGCTTTGATGACAGGCTGGAGAAAATGACGGCTTCGCTCCAATCTGTCACTGATCGATACAAAGGATGGCTGTTTTCACAAGAGAGGGGGAGGTGTGAAGAAAAAAACACATCCTTCTGAGGAACTTATACAAATAGAAGAAGGGCAACATAAAAATAAAACACCTAAGTGGACTTTTATCTTTCAAGTAAAATAAAATATGATCACAGCTGGTGGGAGGGTGGGAGGTGTTGATGTTCCGAGGTCATCCTGCCTCATAAAGTGACAATAAATTTACGTTCAGGTGAAGTCAAATTGGCGGAAATTCATTGAGTTATCATGTTGATGGAGTTTCCATCACTGCAACCTTAAAAAAAACAAAAAACAGTGGACTGTTCCTTTAACTGGAGGATGATGAGGAGGTCTGATCACAACACGAAGAGCAGGAAGGTGATGATGAATGAAGATGTGTGCGTTATAAGAAATGCCTGTTTCCAGCAGTGAACTTAATCTGAGGTGATGATGATGATGGTCATGGTGTGTGTGTGTCTGTGTGTGTGTGTGTGTGTGTGTATGTGTATGAGACAGGCTTCTCTCTAGCAGTGCTCCAGATAGTCAATGATCCGGGAGATGGACTTCTGTCCTGTGGTGCCGACGTCACACTGCAGAGAGAGAGGGAGGAGAGGTCAGTTACCCCACACACACCCACACACACACACACACACACACACACACCTGTGTTGAGGACTCATAATATTCAGTGATCATCACACTGTTCAATAATCATAATTAACTGATTCATTCACTCCCTAACGTTGATTAATTAATGAATCATAACTATAATTTATTCCACCACAATTAATCTCCTCATTATGTCATTAACAAAGTGATTTTTAATGATGTTTATTTTAACTAGCGTGTCTAATTATTTTGTTTATTTATTCAATAATTATCATTTCCATTACCTTGCTGGTATATTTACAGTTAAAATTAAATTAAGTTAAATTCATGAAACACTCATTAAAACTGCAAACTAAGTGCAATTTAATACACACCAGTCGGGTGTATAAGAAATAAAAAAGAAAGAAAGAAATGTTATCCATCTAATTTCTTGGCTTCCTAAGGTACATTGTTTGTTAGGCCATCTGCTCAACATTTCCTCTAACAACTGTTTCATTATTTCTACAGTTGTGCTCATCATCAGTGCTTCAAAATATTGTGGAACATTAGATTTCAAGTTTTCACTTGAAACAATGATTTGACATTTCTGTGAGAAAATGCTGAATTTGCTGACTAAACTTTATCTAATCATTGTTCATCTTTTTCTTTATTAACAGATGTATGACTCAAATTTCCTCAAGGTTATGAAAGTTTTCCCAGTTTAGATATGAGACTTGGGTTTGTCATTGCCTCTCCTACCCACTGGGACTTTTTCAGTTGTATTTGCATCATAAAAGTAACTGACGGCAGTTGAAAAGCTTCACAGAAACTGTAAAGCATCATTTTCAAAAATATTGACTGTGTTTCCACCCTGGAAACTGTGATGGAAGAAATGTTGGGACTGTTAATCACTAAGACATCTCATGGACAGTGGGGTCCTAAAGTCTGAGACCACTTTCCCACTGACATGAATGGCTGTGGCTATTAAATAACGACAGTCGAACAAGCATTATTTTCAATATTCAATAGCCACACATCGCTCTAGTTTCTTTTTTTCAAGTTATTACACACAGTGTTTGTCTTTTTGAGCATTTACACATCTTTTTAAACAGTTTTATAAGAAGCTGCTGAACACACACATAAGGCTGGATTATAAAAGCTGGGACTCACAGTGAGGTTCATGAAGTTGAGGAACTTTTTCAGCATTTCTGTCATGATGGAGAAATCTCCTTTAGGCAGGTTCTCTCTCACAGTAGTCACATTCAACTGGTGAGAAAAGAGAAGGAGGCAGAGAGTGAGTCAAAAACATGATGATGATGAAGACATCAAATCAAAATGAGATCTTGATTTCTTCATTTTTCACAGCTAAACCCTGATAATTATGAGAGGATACTATATCGCTGCATATCTTAGGTTATATGTGCGCATGTCTGCAGGTGTGTTTCCTTTCAAATGTAGATGAAATCTAAACTTAAGACAGCAATAGTTGTATTTTGGTGTGAATTAGATGTTTGTATTAAAGGAGTGAAAATCCCAAAATATTGATTGGGATTTTAGTCCACGGAGGGTTGAAGTAATACTGATGGAAAACCAATGCACATGTTTTTCAATTTGGACAGACCTGCTCTGTTGGCTGCTTGTGCTGAACCTCATAGCAAATGAACTTGAAGTGAAAAATTGTGCAGTTTTAGGTGAGACATAAAAAATGTCCCTAACAGACCAAACATCAGCTCTCAGCAGAGAAAATGCTGGACTACAATCAACACACTGTTCATACATTGGTGCATCACAGCTACAGTATATCTACCATCTGTCTTATTGTGCAGGTGAATATTTGTGTCCATGAGAGTGTGTGTGAGACTCACCGGGCTCCCCTGACAGAGGCAGCCCAGCAGCAGTGCTGTGTAGGAGGCCACGATGCTGTCCTCCATGTGCTTCCCTGCATGCTGCAGAGCTGAGAGGAGGAAGAGGAAGATGATGATGATGAGGAAACATTCATGGATAATTTTATATCTTAAAATGAACAAAATGCCAGAAATAAAAATCAGGATCTGGTTGTATTTGTACCTTTGTTGAGGTCCAGCTCCTCGTCTTCCTCATCTTGCGCCTTCTTCTTGCTGTCATCCTGTTTATCCACGTTGTTGTCGTTGGCAACCCACTGAATCTCCCCGCCCGTCTCCTGCCACTCCCCGCTCTGGTCCAGTGCAGGCTTTGGCGCCTCCTTGATGAGGTCATCAGTCTGCGCCTCAGCCAGGACAGCGGCTCGTTCCCGCTGGAGGAACAGCTGAGGAGGATGAACAAGTAGACAGTTCACTAAAGCCTCAATGGTTAGCTAAGCTTGTGTAGCAGGTTAGCATTCAGCAGCATGTAATTAACTGCATAATTCAGAGTTCCTTGCAAGATCACTAATTACTAATCTGTTGAAATCCTTTTAAATCCTGTACACAGGTGGAACCAACTTCCTCGTGATCTTAAACTTCAAATGTCCAACCTAAATGTGTTTAAATGTTGCTGAGACAACACTTTGAATTGCCTCTGTGTTTGAGAGGTGCTATACATATAAATGTACAGCATCATTTTCTGCCATGACCTTAAAACTCACTTCAGTGAACAACTCTACTCTCTCAGTTTCAGACTGAGATGACACAATGAATCATTTCTACCTCTCATCTGGTTTCTTAGTCCCTGTTACTGTGTGTCGTCACGCTGCTGTTGCACATTCTCCTGTTGACCTCATTGGAAGTCAGTCTGGATAAGAGCATCAGCCAAATCTGATTAGATGGGATGATTCGATTTTAATGAAGCTTTGATGGTGCTCACGGGAAACTGAGCTGCCGCAGCAGCAAAGAAAACACAGACGAGACAAATTGTGAGCATTGGGTCTGATAGGTTTAGAGTCTGAAATGTAAATGTGATCATCTTAAAATATTCCTCAAACAGCACCTGCTTGTGCTTCAGTGAACAGTGCAGTGGGAAGAGAGGTACTGTAGGAAGCACTTGTCTAGTGAAGATGTGACTTTAGGCTCAAGGAACATGTGTTGGGCTATTTTTCACTGTATTCTGACTTTTCTTTTTTTGTCTCAACAGAATCAGCAGATTAATCGATCATGAGCAGATAAGACAGACAGACAGACAGACAGACAAGTAGATATTAACCGCGGCCCTAGTCTGCTGCTTCTTCCTGTGCTGTACCTGTACGAGTGCAGCGATGGCGCTCAGCGGGCCGGTGCTGGTGATGTCCTGGTGCTGAGGGTTGAGCAGGACGGTGGAGTCGCAGGGACCCTGACCTCCCTCCATCTCCATCTCCATTAGACAGTACCTGTTCCTGGCACTGTACTCCACCAGATTGATCAACAAGCCCAGACCCTGAACACCACACACACAAACATACACACAGAGTCAAAGTTATGAATTTATCCTCTTCCCTGTCACTAATGTGCCAGTCATTTCAACTCCTGACGGTTTGTCTGAGTCACTCACCAGCACACGTATGTCGAACCTCTGCTCCTGTGGAAGATACTGAGGGACTCTGAGTACACAGTTCAGAGCTGTCACTATTAAATCCTCCTGTTCTCCTGTCTTCGTACTGCCCCACTCTGCACACACACAGGTTAACACATGAGGACGAACTGTTATCAAGCACAGGTCAGCTGTTTGTAATGACTCAACAACCCACTCAAATGAACCAACCTTTCAGTTTCCAGTTAAACTCTGCTACAAAACATGTTTATGGGGAAAATTCAGCTGCAGTAAAGTGTGAGTTATCTTCTTCTAGTGTGTGCGTGTGCGTGCTAACCATTGTCGTGCGTCAGGTTGAGCAGGACTCCTATGATGGCTCTCATACAGTTCTCTACTGCTTTCCCCACCACAGCTCCGTCTGAGTTCACCTCCCTGCTGTAACGCTGGATCATCTCCTCACACCTCCTCAATGCCCTGAGGGTGGGTAGGGGGTGAGGAGGGGGTTGGAAAAGGGAGGACAGTTAAAAACAACTTTCTGTATTAAACATGTTTCCGGCCTGTCTGGCTCAAAGAGATGCACACAGACGACATGAAAAACAAGATGGAGGATCCAAATAACTTTTTAATGGAACTTTTTTCACTTTTATTCATCGTAGCATTCCTGTGGATTCACCGTTTTAACAGAAGAGAAGGAAAACTAATTTTAGTCTCTCCTTCATCATCAACACAAACTGAATTCACATCCAGACGTCATCTGGATCTGGATCTCCTTAACTACTCCATCATAAAACAGAGCAGCATTCACAGACAGATGTGTCCACGAGCTAACACGCACACAAGCGCACACTCTCTGTCACACACACACTCACTCACACACTCACACACACACACACACACACACACGACACAACACACACACACACCACCACACACACACACACACACACACACACACACACACACACACACACACACCAACACCACACACACCAACCAACAACACACACAGCACAACAGAGGCCGGCTGCAGCAGCAGAAGGGCCAAAGCAGGTCAGCAGCCTGATGTAAATAACTAGATTAAATTTAATGACAGTGGTGACTGAACACAGAGCAGAAAACAGAGTCTGAAGAACAGGACAGACTGAGGATGATGAAGGAAATAAAAGAAGGAAAAAAAAAAAGGGAGAAGAGGAGACAGTGTCAGTAGAAAACGAAATGTGGCTAAACGAAATGTGGCTACGGAGGGCAACAGTAAGACAGGATGTGATGACAGACAGGGAGAGGGATAGGAGAGTCCATAAAGCAACAGTATTAGTTTTCTTTCTGTTCTTCACGTTGAAGTTCATGAGCCAAACTTCCACTGCAGCTAAGACAGGATTAACAGATGCAACTAGAAAAAGAAAGTAAAAGATATTATTGTGTCTATAAAGAAGAAACTCTGGTTCCTGCCAAGACCCAGAAGAGGATGGTCAATAAGCAATAGGACTTTTTGTGTGTGTGTGTGTGTGTGTGTGTGTGTGTGTGTGTGTGTGTGTGTGTGAGTGTGTGTGCGCTGGGCGGTTTGGGAGTTTATTGAATTAGTCCTGCAGACAGCTGAAACAGTCAGAGAGACAGAAGGGTGAGTTTGGGTTGAAACAATGAGGGTGGGGTGTATACTGTAACAAAGAGGAGACAACAGAGGATAGAAAGACAAAGAAACAGTGAAGTCGTGTGAAAGAGGAAGAAATGAAAAACTGGAAAAAGAGGGAAAAGAGAAGTGTATGACAGAGGAAGAAGATCTGGACTCTACACAAGCAAAGATTACATGAAAACACAGCTTCAGTGCGTGCGTGTGTGTGTGTGTGTGTGTGTGTGTGTGTGTGTGTGTGTGTACAGAGTTTAGGTGGCAGGGCTCGCTCGCTCTCTGGCTCACCCTATGGTTTGGGGGGTTAATCGAGTTAAGTGAGAGGACAGCTGAATGCTCAGACTGAGGCCTGTGTCACCCACTGAAACAGCAGCTCTTTGTTGACCCATTCAGCCTTCATCCTCACCCTCATCCTCACCCCCCCACACTCGCTGCAGACGTTCTGTAGGGGGCGAAGGTCCGGTCACACAGAGGGTGAAGGAGGAGGAGCGAGAAGGTAAATTAATTCAGCGCCAAGTTGTTTGACTGATACTGTTTTTTTTTAGGCCGATATATTTGAGAGATATCAGTTTTTAACATTTACCATGGACGTAAACACCATAAAATGTGGTTAATAAAGGATTGTGACCAAGATATGTAAACTTGCTAGTGCTCTCTCAGTGATTCTCTCAGCGTGTGGCTGATCAAGAGCATCAATGTGCAATTTCTCTCTCTCACTTTATCTTTCACAGGGTCCATTAAATGACATTTAAACTTCAGTACTGTTTAATCCCATTCCTGCTGGCAACACAAGTCCCCCAAAGCTGAGTAGCGTTCAATCCAGTCCAACCCTGGTAGAGAGGAAGGTCAGCTAACACAGGCTGACTTGTGTAACTGTGCTGGTCTGAATGGTGTTTAACAACCTAATTTTCACTTGAAACACTGGAATTATATATACATCTATAATAAAATAAAATAAATAAAAATAAACAAATAAAGATTATTATTAATATTATTTTTAAGGACATACATTTTAACCAGAGCAAATGAAAGCAAATGAGCTTATATGAGAGATATAATTCACTGTTACAGATTTTTGGACTCTGCACCTGGACAAGAATGGGGTGTGTGTATTTAAATAATACTTTAATATACAGTACATTTTTTCTTTATAATTATTCAATGATCTTGACAATAAGCTGTCAAAGTAGCTCCTGTGAGCTCCACAGTGTGTGGAAAGTTATGATTTATGTGTAAATTAATGGTAAGAATGAATGTTTTTTTCTAAAACAGAAACATAAAATAATCCAGATTTGACAAAAATCGACTGTATCAGATCAGTTTAAAACAAAAACACCAATATGTGTCTGAAACACTCGAGGGCAGAGACAAGGCAGAAAAAAAGAGCAAAGTCAGGTCATTTCCACAGTGGACTGAGCACTCCCTCTGCTGATGCTCTGCCAGTGAAGGGGGCCAAGCTCAGGGGTCAGAGGTCACTGCTATGACTGACAGGATGTCACAACCAGGAAATTGAACAACAAAACCCTGATAATGATACGCATAATAACCATCAGGCATACTGAGTCAGACTGACACACGCGCGCACACACAGACACACACACACACACACAGATGGGGTCTGTATAGTACAGTTGTTCAGCTGAGTCAATCTGTGTTTGTGAAGAATTCAATTCAACATGGATGGTCTGGATTTAAGACACTTAATGTTCAGTGTCAAGATATTTGTCAATTTTCAAAAAAAACAAAAAAACAATTCAAAGTTTCCTCAGTTTTCACTTTGACAATCATCAACAGATATCCTCCAATGAAAAGGTTTCACAAGAGAAGCCAAAAGAAGAAGAAAAAGAAGGTAAAAAGATTCCGAGGAGGAAGAAGAAAGTTATGCAGACTTGGCTATAATACATTCAAATTTAAGGTCTGGAGTATCTCAGCACCGCAGTGTTGATCAGATCTAAAGTCAATTGAAAAAAAATCCGTGACACTGCATCCTGTCAGGCGGGAGCCAGAGTCATTCCATGTTCCACAAGTAAGAGGTTTACTCACTTTGCAGAGGAGACGATGAGTGACGAGTCTTTATAGGCAATCAAGTAGCTCTGGTTCTCTGGGTTGTGGACTGTGACCTGTATGTACACACACACACACACACACACACACACACACACACACACACACACACACACACACACACAGTAAAATATCAACTGTTTTCCACCGTTTTCCACTGGGCAGTAGTGTCACTAGTCATTTTTGGCAGCAACATAAGCTTTAAAGGAATCTCCTGCTACTGTCTTATGAAGAGTTTTATTATCATGATGGTTGCTGCAGATGGTTTGAGTCCTAATCTGCAGGTTTATGTTGGTTGTGGATGGGGACAGGGGGTCCAAAACATTGTACCTGACCTAAAACAACCCTGTAACTTATCAACCTGCACCTAAATCTCAGATGGACCTCTCCATTTGAAAATAGAAGAGACAGATCTCTACACAAACAGTCCCAGAGGAAGACGGTCATAATTCTAAAACTTTAACAAGGTTTTCCACAAGACTCATTTCACAGTTCCAACTTAAATCCCATCTGCAGATGTCTGAACCATTAGTGTTCCACTAAACTTTGATGGCCTGGACAGGTTACAGAACATATGTTATTGTTTATCCAATGTTTTTGTTGTCAAATCAATATGTTTTTGTCTTGATTGCCTTTTTGGATCCTGTTATTCCAGTTAAATCTTTCTCTTATTCATACAGACTCGAAAACATAAAGCTGGACCTGACTCAGAACTAACGTAAACTCCAAAGTCTGGACTTGTCCGTGGCCAGGGGCAGGTCTGCTTTACAGATTTCCCTAAGCCCTGTAGTCTATGCTGTACTTACACTCTCCAGCACCCGTAAACACCTCTCAGCTCCCCACAGAGACGACCCCAGCTTCTCCTTCTCATCCTCCTGGTTTAAGTTATCAACACACTCTTTCACTGAGGAGACAGAAATGAAAACACAGTCACAATCCTGATGCATCATGATCAGTTATTTTGAGTCAATACAACTTCTTTATAATATGTTGAACCTTTATCTACTATATGGTCCAGTCCTCCCAGTAGCCGGAGTTCCTCTTTGAACCAGTCTCCTGCTCGCTTTGAGGTCAGGGACAGTAACGTCTCCATAGCTAAATGACCCGTCTACAGGGAGAGAGGAGGGACAAAAAGAGGCGTACAATCAGTCAAGAGTCAGCACACACCTCCACTGTCTGACGAATCACTTCACACTTTGAAACAGGTAACATCTCATGCTGTAATGTTTCACACATTCATGTTATTTTGTGATGTATGGTGATTTTTCTGGTCCATTTCCTGTGGGTGTGGAAATTGGTTGATATATTTCCCCTTGGTATAAAATGGCGTCTTCTCTCTCTGATTGTGAAAGACTGAAACCAATCCCTGGTATTTACTTTAGATATTCTAGATCAGAAAACATCTTCAGCTCCAGTGGAGCTCCTAGAAATATCTTGACACATGTGGGCGTCTGTGAGTCACGCCAACTGAAGAGCTGCTTAAAAGAATATCATCAGTCAGAGGTTTCAGTGGAAAGGTCCAACAACAAACCAGTTTCAAAAATGATCCAGTGTGATGAATATTCACACAAAAACCAGCAGAATTTGTTTTTGGTTAAAGTAGGACAACTATGAGTTTTCTGTACCGTTATGTTCTGTAGGTCCAGGTGCTTGTTGTGCACGGTGTCACAGAGCTTCCTGATCTTCTCCTTCATCTTGGCGATTTCCCTGGCGCTGAACTGAGTGGTGGAGTCTGTCACAGCCCCACCCCCCTGGTCCTGGTCCATTTCCAGCAGCCGGATCATCAGGTCCAGACAGGACCGGTCCAGATCCATGTTCAAGCGGTCTCTACTCAGAATGTACATCAGAGATGCCGTACACAGAGCCAGGTTCTGCCGAGATGAGAGAGAGAAAGAATTTACCATAAAATTTCACTCTGAAAATTGATTTGTCTCAAAGCAAAATGCACTTCCTCAAACTAACATATATACCCACACAAGCTTCTATTTCAAAAAGAGTTTGAATTTTAACAATACTGTCACTTAATCTCAGTATATCTAATAATTTTTCTATTATTTTTCTAGTTATATTTTTCTAGTATTATAGTACATACGATGGGAAAGATTTTTAAATGATGAAATGAAGACACCGAACTTGCCTCAGCTATAGGCCCATTAATCTGCCTGCAAATTGTGTTAACCTTTAAATGATTTTCTCAAACGTCATGACCCCAGACACCAAGTGTCAGGTGACCACAGATAGCGTAAAAATACCCTCCAACTCCTGTCATCTCCTAACAGGGTCCAAACTCTTTCCATTTTAACAGTCATCATTAATTGAGATAAAATATAAATATAATGTTGACATTACAAATCTTCTTGTTGTAATTTTCACAGTTTCCATCTGGAGCAAAGTGAACTGCTGGTGTGCTTGATGTATCTGATCCTTACCGGGTGCTGTGGGGCGTCGTTGAGTGTTTTGAAGACCTGAGCCACCTTCCCTCGGGCTCTTAGGTGCATCCTAAAGCTGGGCATGGCACAGCGTGTAGCCAGGCTGATCACACTGGAGAAACAATACAGACACACACGGTGTGAGCTAAGGGTGAAAGGAATGTTTTGACATTTATGTTTTATTCAAGTATATCAGAGAGGTAAAGTAAGCTCGGACAGCAGCAGAGCACTGAGAGGGTGCTGTGAGGGCGTGACAGCGGGTTCATACCTAAGGCATCGTGTGTTGAGAGGTTGTCCGCTCTTCAGACCAGTAGCCAGATACTCAAAGTCATCAGTGAACTCCTGGTTCTCTCCAAACTCAACCACATCGTTGAAGTGTTTTACATGTTGGACTACTGTATACAGCTGGAGAACACAGGGGCCACGATGAATGAGTGGAACATCGCCATTAATACCTTTTTAAAATATTTTTACATCTTTAGCATGAAGTAGATGAACATTTTTTTGTGTACCTCTTTGTGCTCTTTGCGGCATTTAAGTGTGGTGACAGTCTCCTGGTAGGGATCTGTGGGAAAAGTGACACACTTGGTGACCTTGGGAGGAGGAGGCGGAGCCTTGAAAACACCATCATCCTTCTTAGCGTCAGAGGGCTCCTTACTGGGTCCACCAGCTGAGACTGTGGCCTGGAAAGATGGAAAGACAGTTGATATGAAACACATTTTTTTTTAATGCATTTCTTGATATATACAGGGTTATATATGGAACCCTAATACTGTTTTGGTACGGATCAAGATAAAATGTCTGGCCAGATTCATAACTTTGATAATTTGCATCAATTTTGATTAATTTGAAAGTCTCTGTGTGTGTGTGTGTGTGTGTGTGTGTGTGTGTGTGTGTGTGTGTGTGTGTGTGTGTGTGTGTGTGTGTGTGTATTTACAGGAGCCATCTGTGATCGTGAGAAGAAAGGTGGAGGGGGCTCCTCTTCACTCTCCAGCGTCCAATGCCTGGCGTTGTACACTGCTTTGGTGGGAGACTGTAACATGAACAGACACAAAACTGTCTACTACTACCGTCAAAACTGCCCCACCTTTGAAACTATAAGAGGGATCTACATGGTGGTGAAATAGTAGGGATTTTGGCAGAGAAGATTGTACTGTATAAATAAAATATGATCGGACTTGTTTCCATTTTCACACTTTTATTCCACACCAGCCTTTTTTCATTTGCCATCAATATCAAAGTTAACAAATAAAGGACAAAAATCTCACACTTTAGTAATTTCACATAAACATGACAGGAATGAGAAGTGCACAGATGACCAGCAGCAGAAACTGGGATGTAGATTAAAAAAAGTAGTGAGGAAAAAGAGGAGAGAGAGAGAAAAGAGGTGAAAGAAAACAAAGAAGTGTACAAAGAAGGGAAAACAGGAAAACTGGCTGGATGCACATTAAACTGGTGAGAGTCAGCCAGCACTAATCAAACAGCAGGATACACACACACTTACAACAAGCACACACACACACCCTCCCACACTACCATCCTCCCTCATCCTTTCATCCTTGGCTCAACTCCTGTCTTCTTCATATATTTTTGCCAAACCTGTGGTTTGTGGTTGCCGGGGCATTCATAATGAAAAACAAAAGAGAGAAGGAGAGAAGGAAAGGACAGAGAGAGGGGAATGAGGGAAGAAAGAGAGAGCTGGCTGTTGAGGGAGGTGGGGTGGGATTTTTTTTATTTTTTATTTTTTTGGGGGGTGGGGGGGTGGGGGGGTGCAGTGTGCACACCGCAGGGTTAATAAGCTGAGACAAAAGGGGAGTTTGGAGATGAGCTTTGCTGTTCTGGAACACACCGATTTAAAATCTCCTGCAGTAATCTGAATGACACAGACGGACACCTACCCCACCCGCCCTGCCCACTTGTCACTAAGCAGCATGGGAGAGATGAGAGTGAGGGGAGAAGGTGGGCGAGTGTGGCCCATGTTCCTGCTGTGACCCACAAAACAAAAAACAAAAAACAAAAAAAAAAACCCAGAAAGACACACTGTGCATTAACAGAAAACTGCCTCCTCGTTAGTCACAACAGCACAAGCTTGGGAATGGGCAGTGAATTTACTCTAATCATTTCCCATTCCATTATTGATTTTACTTATCAATAAAATTATTAATCAGCTGCTTTTAGATGCACTGCCGGTTGGAAAAAGAACAACCAATTGTGTTTTGAACCAAGGGAAGCCTATGTTATAAACTGGGGTGTGGAAAAAAAACTAGTGCATCTGCATCAGACAGGAAAACTGACCAAAAGACACAATAAAAGTTGCATTGTGGGGAGTGTAGGATCCAGTTTTTTTACAGGTTGATCCATACTACAGACCAAAAATTAGGATATTTTGTCCTATGCTGCTTCACTGCTTTAATCTGTCACTTACAGTATAATATATACAGTGCCTGATTCACATCTGCAAACATGATGAACACATGAATAATGAATAGAAAGTCTTTTTCTTCCCTTTCCTTGTGGGACTACAGAAAAATATTAATAGTACAACAGTGTAGGGAACCACAGTGGAACTCTGGAGTCAATGTTAGGGATGCAATAACTGTTTGTCCCATCCAAAAAAGAAAAAAAAAAAATCCAAATAAACCCTACACCATCTCCTAAATATGGATGAGTCCATCCACGAGCTGTCATTATGGTAACATCTAATATCTCCCAGCATCCTCAGGGGAATAACCTAACAGCACTCCTACTTCGCCAATGCCACAGACTCACAATTTACTGTAATTGAGGCAGAGTTTTGACGACTGCTCCGGGGGCTGGTCACTTCCAAGGGCTATTGTTTTTATAATGAACTCAACTCGGGTCTCGCTCCCAATAATGTTCACTGAAGATGGGGAGAGAGCGAGCCAGAATGTACAGTGTTAGAGAGAGACAGAAAGTATAATAGAACAAGGAGGGAGGAGGACGCAGTAGAGAGCATAATTCAAGAGGTAAAAAGTAAAGACAAGCTGGTCAAGAGGAAGCGATGGAGACAGGGAGAATACATTACTCGACAGAGAGGGAGAGAAGTTATTGTCAGAGTCAGGGCATGAAACTGGAGAACAAGAGAGTACATTAAGTACATTATTATGCTCCTATGGGCAATGTGTCTGCTAATACTCTTACTGCTGGTCTGCAATGGGCACACACAGAGGAAATTAACTTTATACTTTGGCACTTCAAAAGTTCCCTGAAGGTGCCGAGAGAGAACTTCACAACAAAGTTATCTCTGCCTCTGCAAAAGTTTCAGATGACAGGAGAGCGTGAAACACAGTTTGCTTACAGGGGCGCTATTTAAGACGAGATGTTATTTAAGCTGATGTTGCTTTTTCAAAATACTTTCTGCATGTTCTTTTTTTTTTTTTTTTGCTGCATTGCATTGTTTTTCTGTACCAGGTCTTACTTGTCTGAACCAGTAAAACCAGCTGAAGTTTCGTTAATATTTCTGCAACAACGACTCAACTTCCTGTTTGAAATTGACCCATACAAAAGGACACATACACTTGTTATGGTGGTTGCTTCGGGTTCGTTGTGATTTGTTGTAGCACTTCTGGTGCATTAAAAGGGGAGGTTATGGATTACCTCCTCTCTGAGGGAATTAATTTACAAAATATACCAACACAGCTTATATTAGGTGGGTTAGAAATGTAGTTTTAGTAGAATTTGGTTAATTCTTTAGACTGACGATTATAATTATCATTCTAGATGTGAATGAGCCTGAAGCTCAATGTGATTCTATGAAAACCCTCTCAACCAAAGAGCATTTATTTGCAAAATGATTATTTTCTTTCCGATGCAAAAACCTATTATTACAGACTGCAATGCAAACACCAGAGGCAGTGGTGTGTGTTAATGACGATGTTCCAGGCAATCCTGACCCCCTCTGAAATAAAACTAATTTGAATTCTGAAATTTGTCTTGCTGATTACAACTGCACCAGTATCACTTTTTCCAACAAAGTTAAAATACTGCAAACTAAAGAGAACACATTCAACAAGCAGCTGAGAGGAAGAGAGGCCTCGCAGAGCTTGTTCTGACAAAACTGGCAAACTACAGAAATTGGACTGGGTCTAATTAACAACACTTGTACAGCAAAACAAGAGTAAAATCAAATCATCAGTTCAATCAAAGTTTTTTTTCACGGCTTTAACTGCAGAAAGATTCATGTAACGCTGACGATTCATATACAGTAAACATGAGTTACTTAAGACTTCCATTTCCACTGGTCTGAATTGATTACAGTGATCTGTGTCTGCTATAAAAAGACTGAATCCATCCCCTCATCCATCCACGAATAAACCAGAGCTGAACTCTCCTGCTCTGCCCACACACACACACACACACACACACACACACACACACACACACACACACACACACACACACACACACACACACACACACACAGCCTACTGAGTCATACTGAGTGTAGGTGGACAGTCCCATCCCCACAGGTACATGCAGTTAGGGATTACAATATTTCAGTTGAGTGCTTCACATGCATAGAATGACCCACATGCGCATTTATTTTTATCTTTTTATAAGTCAAAGTGAATTCTGATACTCATTATGCTTCAGTCAGAAGTCAAGTTTAAATTTTATGTTTTCTATCAAATTTGGCCTTTGTGTTTAGAGTAATTCATCTAAACACTAAACAGAATACAGGTGATTTTACCAAGGGAGACAAAATGCTTGAACACACAAATAAGAGATCTTCTGTTGAAAGGACAGTAACATCTAAGAACCCCCACACCCCCACAAAGTTGACCACCAAACCTGTAGGAAATGCTGAGTGTTATTCATACAACTGTAAATTTAAACTTGAAAATTATATCGGGCAACTGAATGACTGTTTTGTTTACTTCTCTCTAGGAATACTTGAAATGTGTCTATATCCACCTTTTCACTATCAATTATTTTGCACACTGCAACTTGTTTTTTGAGATTGAAGTGTGTTAAAACCTGGCAACTATTACGCAATAACATTTTGGGTTACCAATAATAACACTGAAAAATCTAACAGTATCCTGATATTTTTGTATATTTTTCTTACTGTCAACAAATCCATTAAAAAGACCAAAACCAACCATATGTTCATCTGCCTCCAAACCCACTGGCAAGATATAAACCTCCTTTTTTTCTTCTTTTTTTACAGCTGGCCACTGTAGTTTTCAGCAAATGTTTCTTAAACACGAGATTGTGCATTTGCTGGGGACTATTTTCAGCAGCGGACTAATCCAGATTCGGTGATCTCATAAGTATTTAGCGCAGCAAGGCGGTGTATGAGGGACTGATTCAAAATAAACAGCAGTGTGTCATTCATGAAGTGTGTTTGGCTTCGCAGTGATGTGGCTAAGCGTGATGCTGTGTCTGACCTTCTTGTGTGCACTGAAGATCCTCCGTAAGGTGTCTGGGTTCTTCTCAGCTGCTTTTCCCAGAGGTGGCCTCCTTGGGGCCCTGGCCACCACCCTGAAGTCCTCCTCTGAGAAGTCCAGGACATCTGTAGACAAAACACACAGACACCATCAGTGAGACTTTAAAACCAAAACATACTCTGTTCATTACATCCTGAATGAGACAGAAGTGACCTGAAATGACAGTGACTGTGTCTTTATTAAGTTCTGCTGTGTGGTCAGGGTTTTCAGTGCTTCTCCTGTGGCCTCAGTCAGACCAGATAAACACCACACTCTGACACTTCACAGTGATTGGCTGCTGAGGATGAGCTCAGATGAGAGGAGGACGACACAGGGTTTGTTAGTGTTGTTAGGGCATCATGTCCTCAGAGTGTGTGGGAGGATGGGTTCATGATGTGTGCTGGTATGGGGGTAGAAGCAAAGTACTGCATCTTAGTGCTGGTGTGGGGCCTTCGTGTTTACATGTACATATAAACATTACACAAAGAAAATAACATCTAATCTTATCTGAGGATAGAAATGCAGACACACTAGTAGCCCTGTTCCACAAAACTCTGGACCCTGTCAGACGTGGGTTGAGCATTGGAGTAAATGGCCCGTCTTTCAACATCTGCAAATAACTACAATTATTAAACTCAATTATTCAATTTAGATCTGTAATCACCTTCTGCTGGCTGAAAAGAGACATTACATTTTTGAGTGGCAGTCTAATCAATGATGACAGTTTGTCACCCAAAAATGAAATGAGCTGCATAAAAAAAAAATTAAAGTGAGTCTCTTGAAGTTTGACATGACACAGATCATTTCCTTCAACTCCCTCACCTGATCTTGTTAAACTACAAGACTAAGTCAAAACCTAACACATGGCTGGGCCACACTGTATTTGCATCCTGCCTAGTATCAGCTGGTTTCAGCTCTTTATCCGTTTGTTTCTCTCCTCCTCCCTGTGCTAACATATACAGTATTTTAATACAGCTGGATTCCCTATAAGCTGTTCCATGTTTTTCTGTTGACAGACCATGGAACGAGTATGAAGTAGTGACTGAAACGCGGCCCATTAAGACTAGATGTTAACCAGCAGTCACTTCTAAGCTGCTGCTGCTGCTGCTAAAATCCTGATTTTATAACCAGGACTCAGCTACTGTGCTGTCAGAAGTGAGGAGGTGTGCCTGCAGATGGAAAGCCCGACCTCGTGGGGCAATACTGGCGACTGTCTTCAACAGAAAGCAGCTAAGGTTTATCCAAAAGGTTGCTAGATTTAGATTAGAAACATTGGCTCATCTGGTGACAATTGTGCTAAATTGGCAGCAGTGTTTGTTTGTGCCATGTCATTTCGAAAGAGCAACAACCACTTGTCCAGCCGATCAATGGTGTAACTTCATCACTCAGTCAGTCCGCGACATTCCGCTGGTGTGGTCCAACCAAAATATACACTTCTCCCAGGGTTGAACAGTGATGTAACAGAGTAACGGCTCTTTTCACTCACAAACATCGTTGACAGAGTACAGACGTCAGATTGTAGCACACTATCCAGACAACAGCTGAAGTGCAATTATAACCCTTGACGAATTACATTAATTAGCTACAGCTGATATAATCAATGTCATTTGAACTAATGAAAGAGACAGCCTGTACTGGCTCTTTGCTTATAAAAAAAGAGGGAGGAGATAAAGGTTTGATATGAGAATAGTTAGTGTCGGAAGGGAGCAAATACAGGTATTCTGCATAATGGAAACCAGGTCCAAAGTAGAACTGGTTATCTAAACCCTACTCTAATTTGTCTACTTGTTACTCTACTAGTTGTCTACTAGTTGTGTTACTCTTGGCTGAGGTTCAGTGTGTGTTGTGCTCTTCACTTTGAATTGACAGAATCCTCCACCACTGACCAGAAAACTAATTACATGGTAACATGAACTCCTCAGGAACTAAAATAATTTCAGTTAATGTCAGTCCTTATCATTAAATTGACAACGCCATGAGGAGCTAAACACAAACTCTGAGCTTCTTCTGCCTCCAGACTGAGCAAAGTAAATGAGCAACTGTGATGCTGAGAGGTTTGAAAAGCATTTTCATTCAAAGAGATTATTAAATACGATTTCATTACAGATAAATTTATACTGCTGTCATTAAGACAGAGTGAAACGCATGCTGTAGCGGATCTGAATGAAAAAATGTGATCTTATTCATAAGTAACCAAAACCTCCCTGAAGCCTGCTCCCTGTTTCTTTAGGCTACTACAGGTAGAGAGTGCGAGTGTGTTCTAACCTTCTCGTATCCTGCTCTCCTGCCTCTCAGAGTTCTTCTTGTTCTCCCTAGCTGCCGGTCTTTCACGACTCTCCAGCCTCTCGAAGGGATCCGGCGGGTCATAGGCTGGTGTTTCTTCTATGGTAACCACTGGGGTTGCCTTGGTGACGGCAGCTTTCTTGGCCCTCCTCCTCTCTTTAGAGCTGTCGTCGTCAGAACCATCACTATCGCTCATGTCGTCAAAGCCAAAGTATTTAATTTTGTAACTGGATCGGCTGTCTGTGTTGTCAGAGCTGTTCTCCTCCTGATGGGTATCTGTGTCTTCAAAACCAAACAGCTCCAGCTTACTGTCCTTCTTTGACTTGGTCTGGGTCTGCCTGAACCTGCGGAGAGGACACGTATACAATCAAAACATTGTTTACATGCTGTAGTCAGGAAAAAGGCAAAGTCAGACCTTTTTATGAATTTCAAAAATGAATAAGAATCAGCTCAAAAAACGAGGCAGTCAGGTAGCATCCTTGAGGCTTTCCATTTCTTGGTTTCCAACTTCAGGCTCAAACTTTGTCCAACATTAGCGGACATAAAAGAGCAACCTACCAAATTTTTATTAACTCTATGCTGTTTAGGAAACAAATCGATTAATTTCCATCAAGTTAATGAAAGCAAACTTATTTAATTTAGAATTTTGTTTCAGAAAAAAATCCTGTGACCGTAAGGAACGATTTTTCATTGGCAGAAAAGTAAAAGTAAATAGTAAATACATAAAATGGGTGAAATGAAAACAGTGTATCTGTGTGCCAAAAAATGACTTTATAGTCAACTTTTTCATGCCACTTGCTTCACTGACTTTTCCCTTTCCATACAGTTTCTCTGTTAATCTAGTTGGACAGAAGTTTTGAAATCAGACAGGAAGCAATGGTAAATCTTTTGAATTCTTAAAATTGCCAGGTACCCTCTTTTATTATCCCTTAAGTAGCTTTAAGGGAGTTACAATCATGTGATTCCAAACCATGTGACACTAGCATATAATGTATTTTCCAGCTCTTTATTGAAGCTATATTATGTTTTCCACTGAGTGAAATAATCAAACCCAAGACAGCTTTTTATGGCTGCACCATTCCAAATGGAAATATTCCAGATGTTTTGTGCATAATTGTAGATGCAGTTCCAAAAAAATTCAGCCTGATATATTTTTTATCTTTGGAAACTCCAGTAGAGGTGTTGTGTGATGTTCTGTTGGTTGAACCTACTCAACAACAAAAAAATTAAACAAATTAATTACAAATAACAGACAAGTTATTCATCAGTTGTGAAAATAATCTCACTGCCAGGTCCATTTAGCAGCACATGTCTATGTTGCAGTCTTTAAATTCATTTTTCCCCTCATCAATCTACACTCCATACACCTCATAATGACAAAGCCAAAAAAGAGAACTTTAGACTTTTGCTACACTTGAAATTCAGCTCAGGTACCTCCAATTTCTCTCTTCATCATCTTTGAAATGTCTCTACACCTTGATAAATTCAATTGATTCGACAAGATTTGGAAAGGCACAGTCCTTTCTATATAAGGTCTCACAGCTGACAATGCAGATCAGAGCAAAAACCAAGCCATGAGGTGGAAGGAACAGCCTGCACAGCTCAGAGACAGGACTGTGTCGCGGTACAGATCTGGGGAAGGCTACAAAAAAGGCTCCCAAAAGCACAGTGGCCTCCATAATTCTGAAATGGAAGAAGTTTGAAACAACCAGGATTCTTCCTACAGCTGGCTGTGCAGCCAAACTAAGCAATCAGGGAGAAGCGCCATGGTAAAAGAGGTCACCAAGAACCCGATGGTCAGTCTGGATGAACAGCATTCCACCAATCTGGGCTTTATGGCAGAGTGGCCAGACAGAAACTCTCCTCAGTGAAGGTTTGTAATAAAGCACCTCAAGGACTCTCACCGTTCACCACCTGCTCAACACCGTCACAACAGTGAAACATGGTGGTGGCAGCATCAGACTGTCTGGGTGTTTTTCAGTGACAGGGACAAAGGACCCTGGTCAGGGTTGAGGGAAAGATGAATGTAGCAACGTACAGACATATTCTTAATGAAGAAAATGCAGAAAATCTCCAAGTCCAGGTGTGCAAAACTAAGGACTGAGTAAAGGGTTTGAATATTTATGCAATATTTCAGTTTTTCCTTTTTACTAAATGTAATAAAATGTTAAACTTCTCTTTTTTTCTTTGTCATTATGTGGTATTGAGTGTGGACTGATGAGGGAAAAAAATTTAGGATTTTAGCATGAGACTACAACATAAACATACTTTGAACCTCAACTTTGATCAGGTACATCATTTAGCATTTAGCAAGACTGTGCAGGAGTAAGAAGTCTTCTACCTCTGTTAGAGTTATGCTGCTATCGCATTCAAGTGTGCAGAGATGTTTTTTTCAGTTATTCGACAACATTTAACAAAAACTCCCCAAAGCGTTTGAGAAAAGTAGCAGTTCTACTTGTTCATGTTGTCCTACCTCGTGTTTTGTTGCTCCGTCTTCTTCCGCTGCCATCCCGCCTCTCCCAGCTCTGTTGTACTGCCAGACCCGGCACTACTGCTACCACTAGAGGGTGCTGCATCACTGCTAAACTCCTCCACCACTCGGTCCTGGATTGTGACATTACACATTGACACGGACGAGGGGTGCAGCACTGTGTAGTCCCTCGTCCTGCCCCGTCCCCCTCCACTACCTGTTGTCTTATTACTGCTGTCAGATGAGGGTTTGGGGAGATCTGCACCAAAAACTGTGCTGGCAAAGCCACTGGAGTCCTGCGCTTTGCCAGAGCCCTGTTTGTTAGGCCTCCTGTACGTCCGACAGTTAGAGTTTCTAACAAGTGATGAGGAAGAGGATGTCTGGGAGTAGTCTGATGTCTCGACAAGGAAGTCCGAGTCGCCCCCGAGGTCCTCACTCTCGCTGGGGCTCTGGAGCCGTGGGGGAGAGGGCGGCTTCTGATGCCGGGTCTGCCCCAGGTCAAAGCTGCCAGTGGTGACACCTGCTGTAGCCCAGGAGAGTGTGGGGGCGGGGTTACGAGGTTCCTGGCTGGGTGAGGGCGGACGGAGACCCATGATAGCATCCCAGGAGTCGTAGGTGGACTCTGCCTTGGACCCTGTCTTCAGGGTGGTTGTCTGCGCCAGGGGCTTCTTGTCGCTCTCAGAAGCATTTTGGTACCATGAGTAGCTGTGCTGGTTCTCCAGTAATGATAGGGAACTCTGCTGGGACTTTCCTGTGGAAAAGGAAGAGAAAACTGATTCAGAATCAATACTAATAACTACCTTAAACTGATGGCACTGATTTTTATGAAGTTAATTTAAATATTAATTGTTTATTTAGCTCCAGCTATAGTATTACAGGTATTTTAATGTCAACTAGGACTGCAGCTAATTTTGTTTAAAAATCGAGGCATCTGTTGATAATTCTTTTGATTAACTGATAAACTGTTTGGTCTATAAAATGTCAGAGTAAAGGGGAGAAACCATCACAAGTTTCCAGAACCCGACAGCCCAAAACTCAAAGACATTCAATTAATAATGACATAAAAATGGCGAAAACCAGCAAATCCTCATATTTCAGAAGCAGGAACCACAGAATATTTGATAAATCTACCAATCAATTAACTGATATATTATTTCAGCACTAATGTCAACACTCTGTATTCTCTGGACCTGACTTTTAAAATCATTAAGATAGTGATGCATCGCAACCTGCAAAAATGCTATCTACTGCATCAGTGAAACAACACTGTGCCCACAATTTGGCTTCTAGTTAACATCATCATCTGCTCAGCAGAAAGGTGGTGAACATAATGACTGCACCATTTCAAAATGCAACTTTACAACTGAAAACAGGTCACACACACACACACACCTGGAACTTCTAACTGCCAACTCATTTGCCAGTTGACGTATTTCTTGAAGAAAATCAAAAGCGTCTGGACCTACTTGCCAAGTCAACATGGAGACTCTGGTTATTAGCACCCCCTGGTCGTTTCTGCCTTCACAGATTACTAACAGGTAACAATATTGAACTCTTAACTCTGAGCAAAGAAAGGAAATTGCTTCACAGTGTAACATCAAAGAATATCTCTATCTGTTCTGTAAACGAGCTGTGGTTTGTTTTGGTTTTTTTTTTTGAAGGCTGTGTTGTTGGAGCGCAAGTGCGAGCAAAACTAAAAAAGTGGGCCATTTCACTTCTTCTCTCTCTTCTGACCTTATTTGAGAAAAAGAAAAACTTGCAAACAATAAAACATCAGCTGCTCCAGAGCATCAGCCACAGCAAAAGAAAAGGGGACTGGCCTTTATGCCGAATGCTCTGACCATGTAACTGTAGGTAAATGGATACGGCGCAATACTCATACAAGACCATAGAGTGCCTTGACCCTCCATGTTGTAACCTTCCTTTGAGAAGTGTAATCCTGAATACACTCCAAAACAGCCACAGACACACATACATGTGCAGATGGCAGAATCTACCCCAGCCCAAAGCTGGAAGTACAATTTGGGCTCAACTCTGCCCCATTAACTCCAGTGTCAATCCCCCCAACAACTACAAACCTCTCAGCAACAGAGGTTAAAGGCAGACCTTCTGAGTATCCGAGCATCTTGTTAATTGAATTTTCATTGCACATGTAAACATCATATCCTGTTTACAGAATTTCATAAGATTATTTTGAGGAACCAAAATCTTGGGTCATGATGACACAAAAATTGTGCCAATTAATGATGATTAGTGATTAATTCATTGCAGATGGACCAACCTGGATAACACTCAGACACACAGAGGTGAGATGAAAATCTGCCACACTGCTCATGATAATAAGAGAAGATTCATACAAGTGAGAAAATGATCACAACATGGTGATTTGAAGCCATTTGTTAAATCCAATCCAATGTGAACTATTTTAAAAAATTCAATAAATAAACCTTGTTTTCAATTTTCCTATTAAAGGGCAAATAAAAATACCAGAGTCTGAGGGGTGACACTTCAGCAACCTGCAACCATTTTGCCAGCCTTAGTGATCACACTGTACAGTTCCTACATGACTGAGTATAATATGTGAATCTGATAAAGTGAATTGAAAGTTCGGTGTGTCACCATAGTTTGAACTTCAACAGAATTGTTTCTAAGCATGGTTCAAGAAAACTCAGTTTTTCAAAAATAAAGCTGTAAGTTGCACCTATCACATTTATGAGTAGTAAAATAATTTAGATTTTTCTGCTTTAAAAACATAAATGACAACAGACTGGTCCATAAACAGTCGGAAACAATTTAATGATTAAGTATTTTCTTATACTGAACATGAGAAAAAAAAAATATATATAGGAATAAAAAAAAAGCTGTTCAAAGGCTCCTTTCAAACAGCTGCTGCTGTTTGAAAGGAGCCCTGATGCAGGCTGACATATCATTAACTACAATTGCTGGCTTCTGTTTATTTTGTGTTACTCCATGTTCCTTTCACTCACAACATTGTGCATTAGGAAATGACAACAGTGTTTTAAAGGATGACAGTGAGGTGGTTTTCTTTGCAGCTGGCGTACGGAGAGCAAACAAGCGATGTACTGCATCAGAAAGGAATCAGGCTTTAGCCAATCAATTGAAAATGACTGGATTGGCCTCCGTCCCAATCCTGTGGATTTGCTAAGGGCATTCATTAATGCAGAACATGGTATCAGTTTGATCAGTCTGATCGAATTAACTGAGGACATCATTTACAATTTTAGATTTTGAAACACAAATTCAGATTTACCAGAAGACAACTCATCTTAATATTGTCTGGCACAGGAGTTGTACATTGAATATCCACAAGTGACAAGGATTCAATGTAAAATGACTTTTATCTGAAGCCTGTAAGATAAACTCATTGCTCAATTAAGTCTCAATAAAAATCTAAAATCCAATTATGTCTCTACAGTTTGCGGACTTAAAATTCTGACAGAGTTCAGTGGAACAGATTTTTAATTTTATTTTCTGTTGTATCCGAGTAAAATAAACACGTCTCATAACCTTCTTGAATACAAATATCACTCAGTCAGCTCTACAGGCAGATTTTCTCAAGTGTTATTTGGTCAAGGATTCTGTCATATGTACTCAGTCAACATCACCAGTCTTAGTGTGCAGATAACAAGACTGTTGATGGCAGTGTTGCAGCTGAACTTCGGTGTCGCACTGACTTCCCTTCAACATGGCTTAATGTCCTAACACAGTGGAAACGTTGCTCTGAGCCGAAGTGCTCACTGAGATACAGCTTGTTGTTGGGAGTCAGTTGGAGTGCCTCGCGTCTCTGGCAGGTGGCCAGCAGCGGCCACAGAAAGCTGAGGACAAGTCAAGCTGAAAGTGACGACACTGACAGTGACCGGCTGTGAGAGGATGAACAACAAAACTGATTTCTCCGATGCTGTTCTGTCAAATATGAAATCACTGAGATGTAAAATTGAAGTCCCTGACAAAAACCACTTATGGAAACCGCAAGCATTCACACAAAGACAAATGCAAAGTCCACAGGAGTATTTAGTTTTACAGAGGTCACCGAGTTTTTACACTTTGTCATCTGAAGACCCAGAATTTGTTTAGCGTCTATGAGCCATCAGATTCCATCACAAGCTGGAACGCTTCACCCCCTCATAGGATTTTTGTATTGTGCCAAAAGTAATGTGTGTGGTTACCATGCTCCTCAGGATGCTGCTAGACTGAACCATCATATCTGCCCATCTATGTTTGTTTTCATTCCATTTGAATCAAAATCAGAACTCATGGCGCACTCCTCCTGGCCAGATGTGTCTCCATTTTGACACTAAAAAAATCAGAGAAGCTAAACTTTCTATAGCTGATGGAAGCCTTCAGTCAAAGAGCACCACAGTTGGCTTCTGTTTAGTCAACAGCTTCAAGGAGACATTTTTACTACCGCCAATAAATCAAAAACATTCAAAAACAAACTGAGCAACATTTAGAACATCAAATTCCTGCCCATTCATGGAAAATCTTGTGACCACACTGTAGAATATTATTACAAACAGGAGATCTGGAGTTTTAATGTGAAAGGACAATGGCTATCATAATGACTTCACTTAGTCATTCACTGTTCGTTTTTCTATCAATCTAAAGTGGATATCTTTGAGTTTTTAGACTAAACAATTAATTAAAATAATGTAATCAATAGATTGATCAATAAAATTCTTTATGTACAAATGCAGTCGTACTCCAAATCTAACCAAACTTAAAGGTTTCAAACTCCATGCATTACCTATGTTAGTGCTGCTGCTGTTGAAGAACCGAGCTGTGTCCTCCACCACCCTGGGTTGGTTCCTGTCACCGGCCAGCCATGACGCACCTCGGGCGGATGCAAAAGTGTGGGATGCTCCCTGGAGGCTGGACCTGCTCCCGGTGTCCAGAGAAACACCCGGCCTTTCTGCCTGGGGAGGCTCTGCTGATGCTGGCTTGGCAGGCGACGACTTACTGCCACTCCGAGACGACACCGGCTTGGATTCCTCATCACTGTCGAACCCAAACGGATCCTCCAAGCCATCTCCAGATGGACGGGGCCTCTTGTACACCCCCAGGACAGAGTCGTTCTTGGGAGCACCGGTGCGCTTGGAGCCCACCTTGGCCTTGTAGGTGGTGTCACCCCATTTGGTACTAAGGGTGCCTCTCTTAGTGGACAGAACCTCATCAAACTTGGACGTGCCCTCTCCTCCCTTGCGACTGTAGGTTTTACCAAATCTGGATGTCATTGTTGCATCTGGGTCATATTCTCTGAGACAAGAAGAAGAGATAGCAGAAAGAAAGGTACATCATTTAGGAGCTGACAAGAATATATTTCATCATCATGAATGTGATTCTTCAACTTAACCCTTTTTACAGTTTTAACAATAGATTTTGTTTGTATTTAAGTTTAGAAACTGAACAGCAGTAGCCAGTGTCAGTGATGTTTAATGATCAGATGATAAATACTTGCAGTATCATGGACTTAAATCTTAATCCACAAAATGACGGCCTCTTTATGTTTTTTTTTCGCTACAAACATGTAAATCCGTTTAGTTTATATCATTGTGTCATTGTTAATTACTTTCCAATCCTGTTTGTATAGAACATGCGTAGCTAGGTGTGAAAATTACTAGCTAACAGCTTGAGTACTTCTCAGCCAGCTGGTTTGACAAAACAAGGCTAATATTAGCTTGGCAGCGAGCTAATGGTGCTAAGTGACTGCTATCAGCAATGGTAGGATGCTAGCAGACAAATTAATGCAAACAACAAAACACATTGGTGGAGGTGAAACAATTCAGACAGTGTATCCGTGTAATTACGTGGCGAGATGTGTATTATGTAAATATATAACACATTTTTCTAAGTTACTATTATCGTTAGCTCGAGTTTTAGCCGTTAGCATTAGCAAAAAGCTCAACAGAAGAGACAGGAGCCGTCACTTCAACAAACTGCTAGCTTGAAGCTAACAGCTAACAATAACTACAAACTCATATCGTGTCGTGCCACAACCAAAAAATCCAAACGTAGACCAGCTTCAATAGCTAAACGAACACTGGCTATTATCTGTATTTCTACTTACTTGGTGAGCTAAAGGGCCAATCCGCACAAAACACACTCCAGACCCGAAACGGCCGTTAAACTCGCACAGGACCGGGCCTGCTTCCCTGATTCAAGCTGCTCCTCACAGTATAAACAAGGCCGAACAGACGCAGTTAACGGCAAATTGGTGGATTTGAAACACAACAGAGAGAGCCTCAAATCCGGACTATTGAGAAAATATATGATTTATATCCCAATCTAACGAAATCGGCTCGTGTTTTCAAGCTAAATCGCACTCGATTGTCTCCTCCGGGTTGCGACGAAGGGTTCCATTGGACTCCCCTGCTGCGTCAAGTTAACCGGAGATAGCCGAAAATTACCGGAAATGGGTAATCTATCCTTAAAAATAAAAGCAGAAATTGAACATACGTAAAGAACATTTTCGCTAGGCCTAGTTGTCATGGAAGTATTTATATATATGAGGAGATTTGCTGCGGAATGTGGACACGTGGATTTAATAGAGACTCATGTATGTACATATTACTCAATGTACATTGTTTTGCTAGGTTTTTGTATTTTGTTTGTTTTATTTTTAAAATTCAAACCGGATATGTGATATGTAATTTTTGACCTTCACACTAGTAGCTTCATCAATTTTATCATTACAAATGCCGCATTCAGGTGCTCCCATTAAACTCGTAAAAAAGGTACATTTAAAATGATAGCCAGTAAATGCGGCACAAATAATTCCGCAGTTCCTGAATATAGTAAAATGTTAGAACAAATAAAAATAACGTCATCTCCACAATATCAATCAAAAAAAACACATTTATTTTGTAATTGTAGAATGTGTTTACTAACAATCAACAACATTTTAATGAAATACTGAATAGATGGTACAATGTTAAACTGTCATGCACAGGTATGGGCCCAGAGAGTGAAAGCTCTCCTTTGTCCCAGTCCAGATGAACTCTGATCCTCTTGAGTTTCTCACTGACTGACAGAGCAGTGTATTTATTTCCTGAGGAGTACAAACATCACTGAATTGTACACTCAACACTGTAGACCCCACAAATCCCTGCGTACATACAGACTCTGTTAACAAGCCCAGTTCCCACTCTTTGTTGTCTCCAACCTCAGCATCCCAGCTGTGAGTCCCTGAGTTAAAGCCTGAGCCAAGAACAGAATCCCAGTATTCAAACCTCTCTGGGTTTTTCAGCCTGTTCCAGATGTTGAAGGTCAGGTTGCCCATGTGTTTCACCACATCCATCAAAACTCCAGAGCCCAGCTGTGGATCATCACAGCTGGACTCCTTCCACTGCAGCCTCAAAGCTCTGCAGGACTGATACATCCTCAGCTCTCAGCTCCTCCTCTGTGCCTCTGATTGTGTCTGAAAGAGTAGATGTCTGTCTGCTCAAAGCCTCAGACTTTGAGTTTCTCAGAGTGATGGCAGAGTGCCATAGGCCCAGGTGAAGCCCTCTGACCTCTCTCTTGTAAGAATGCTTCACACGGGTTCTTTAACGCCAAGTTACAAGGTGGATCGCCTAAGATTTTGTCCTACAACATCAACACTCATGGATTTGGTTCACCCCCAGTCAGCTCTGCAGACCTACTTTACAGATGCTGTGGCTACGTGACAGGAGGACAGGATCTTTAAAGATGTCATGGCAGACAAGATAGCAGAATTCCCTCTCTGAGTGTGACACCATTTTTCTTTGAGGGAAGCGGTAAAGACAGCAGGCAGACAGGAGGAGGTGTCACTCCTTCCTCTAGAAAAACCTCAAAGTTACTTTGAGCTGATTTATTCAGCGAGTCAGCTGCTGGTGTAAGAGGCAGTATTCCCGAAATCCAAGAATTACCGGTATTCCTTACTGTATTCTTTGTCAGTGGAAGTCTGGTGATGGTCTGAAAATGAATTTCCTACCTGTGTTTCCCTTATCAGAGAGAGGACATAACATGGAAGTGTTTCCTAATTTGTCTCAGGTAAGTGGAGCTCTGTTATTGTCTGCATTATGGCAATGCTCATTTACTGCACCAAGTCATTTTGTTCATGTTTGGGAAAGGTGGTGCCTCATGGCTTAACTCAATTTTGAGTCCAAGTGCTGAAATCATATCTGTCTATTTCATTTTAATAAGAAAAAGTGGAATTACCTCCCTGCAGCAAAACACTTTTTGTGTTCTCGAGATATCGTGTTCACAAGGCCAATACCGCATATTGTGAGGTCAACGCGACTTTGACCTTTGACATTTGATTAACAAAATCTAATCAGTTTGTCCTTATGTTCTAGTGAATGTTTGTGCCAAATTTGAAGAAGTTCCGTCAAGGGGTTACCAAGATATCATGTCCACGAGAACAGGATGGATGGAAAAGCAGAAAACAATATGGCTTTGGCTCTGACTATCGCCAGTGTGGAGGAATAATTAGGAAGCTGCAGGGTCTAACTGCCATTTAACAGTGTCTTTAAGGTGCATTCAACCATATGTAACAGATGGAAAATGATGGAAAACATTTCAACTTGAACACAAAAATTACAGTCCACAGAAATGAGAAGGTCTGGACACTCTCTGGTACATCCTGAAACAACAGCCTCATTCTCTGGACTGGACTAGATCTACAGCCACACTACGAGCACCACTGTCAGCCACAGCCCTGTTTTCTCATGTAGTTATCTCATTGATCCTCGGTCTCCATTGCATGCTGGCATTCTCTAAAAGACATGTGACGGATCTGTAACACCACCAGGGGAAAAAAAAGGGTGTCTCTCTCTTCTTGTTTTTGAGGAGGGATGGGAAGACGACACCAGAGCTGGATGACTAGTCCCTGCCATTTGCCACAGGACCTGAAATGATCCCAGTGCTTGTTGACATGCACCCTGCTATGGCTGTCTGTTTCTTCAGGGCAGTCAGGTCATCTTGGCATCAAGCCTCGCTTCTTCAAACCACAAAAACCTCTCCAAAAGTTACTGCGGAGCACTAAGCCTGGCTGAAATCCCTGCATGGCATGCTGCAGCCCCTGTGCCAGCATCAGCCTCCCTGCCAGCCAATAGACCAGCGTTACTGTACCATGAGGGGGTTCAATACTCTGACAATAAAGAACAGATCTGACTTCTTCCACAGGGATGCCAAAAGCTCCCTGAGCGGGCGCTGGTTGTTGAGAACCTGGCAGAGCTTAGCGGTGGCACCTGGAGTGTTTAGGCATCACACAGTTCTGAAGAATAGATTGGCACAGGGGCTGGCATCTGTGCTGGCAGCGCCATCCTTACAAACAATTAGGCCTTTGACATTCAGCAGATAGGAGCCATAGGATCATCTCTGGCAAAGGCAGAGATAAAGGAAGCCAAATGACTTACCACCCCAATCAACTCACTGTTTAGGAGAAGATGGTTCAGAGAGGAGAGGAAGAGGATTTTTAGCAATTCATTTGTTACATTACAGAGCCCCCAAACGTCAAGGAGATCATATTTCTTATTGTATGCGCACAAGATTTAGATCTTGTTTGCACAAGTTCCACATTTTAATAGCAGCAGTTGTAGCAGCAGTTTGAGTAATTCAAATGTTTTCCCTTTTTGATGATTGTGAGCAAGATTATGTGTGGTTCTTTGTCTGCAAAAATGCGTGGGTCCACACCACACATCAAATTTCAATTTCCACTGAGTTGGTTGCTTTCACCGTACCACAGTTTACAAAGGTTATGGTTTGGCACGAACAGCTCAGTATCACGAAGAATTACGCATCCATCACAATTTACTTGCCAGTGTTGAGTGCCATTGTTATTTCCTTTATGAAGTTAGGTGGAAAGTCTGTTTTGGGGTCGATATTCACACCATTCCTACTTCTAAACTAAATTTCAGTACTGGACAATTCTGCAAAACACCAAATAATGTTCAATAGCAATGTTTAAAGATTTGTATTAAAAATTTCCAAACGCCTCACAAAAGCAATTCTCACCTTTTTTTTAAGGTACAGAGACCTCAGATATTCGTGCAAGTCTGTTGTCTGACGGAGCCTCACGTTGGCCATTATTGGACAACTGTTGTCCCTATATACACATTCCTACACTTGCTCTTCTACTGATTCTTCTTCATTGGGAACTAGGTTTAGAATATTGTGAGCAGAAGAATCTTGAAACTCAAAGATTTCCTCTGCTGAGACGTTTCTCAGTCCCCACTAGATGTCAGAATTTAGACATAATACTATGTCCGCTTGTGAACGTCCTCCCTCCTCT